CAACTTGATTGTTGATAGGTTGGCTCTTCTGTGATGGTATACTACCGATTGCTTCAACGAGGCTCTGATACCACTTGTTGAATTTCGATAATTGGCCAGGGAAATCACCGAGAGGATATTGTCGACAGGAGGTTGTTGGAGGAAAGATAAAATGCGTAAAATAAGAGAGAGAGAAGGACTGAAACTTTGACTGCTCTTCAAAATCCGGTGGTGAAATCTTGTAAACAGATTTCCTATTTAAATACAACCTATCCTAAAAATGGGTGGAGAGTGGCCAACTGAATCTGTGCCACTTCCTAGAAAATTGACGTCTAAGAATTAGCTAATCCATTCGACGTGTTTGTCAAATGGTCAAAGGGAAATTAAATGTAAACGTGTGAATCTAAATAAAGAAAAAACAAAGGTTTTATCTAACAATCTCCTCCTAAAACCTGTGTTATATCTGCCTTGCCTTATTTCGTTTCGTTTGAACTCCGTTTTGAGCCCTATGGCTCGGTGTCCCTGGCGGCATGTCCTCCAGACTCCACGTCTTGTTCGGCCGCCTCTTCTTCGAGTTGGCGCGCCCCCAGTCCAGGTGGTTCACCTCTTCCTAATAGGTCTTCCATCTTCCGGTAAGGTCTCCATCTCTGAAACATAACAAACGCCATATTAGATCGTGGACAAAAGTATTCAGTTCATTCGTTTTGTCAATTGTTAACCTTTCTGTTCCAATTTAGTCACATCAATTAGGCAGAAACATCTTGTATGTTGTTAAAGATTGGAAACATCCATCAGTTACAAGAGCAAGCTCGACGCATACTCATCTTGAAATCAAAACAGGATTACAGAAATCTGGGTGATACAATCACAGATCAAAGAAACTTTTCGAAATTTTTAATGAATGGAATGACGCCATGGTTCGAAAGTAGCCTCGACAAATCTGAACAGTCCAACAGGGTTCGAAGGTAGGGAAACAAAATCAAACTTGGAAAATTCAAGATCTGTCCTGAGGAATCCTTAACAATTCGACTGGATCTACAATTCGACCACAGAGATAGTTCGCTACCAAATCGAATTACCAGCAACAATAAGAAATTGAGCAAAAACGAAAACAAAAACAAAAATCTTTGATCTAACCGTGGATCTAGGAAATCCTAAAATTGTTACACGAAAACCGCGGGAAACCAGTACGCCGACATGATCTTTTTTCTTTTACTTACAAATTGGATCGTGCTATTCAACAAACAGTTTGTGGTGACAAATAAAAGCTGACAACCGAAACAGAGCTACCAGAGAAACAAAAAGAAAAAAACCCCGAACACCCGAGATCCCGAATCTCAGAGAGCACAAAACAAAATCGAAGTTACAATCACTAGTTCCAGATGAATTCTTTTTTTAAAAAAATGTCAGATCTGCAAGATTTCACATCTCAGAAGAAGAGAAACAGAGTTCATAGCAACATACAAGCACCAGACACCCGATTCAAACAAAATGAGTACCACTAGCTTACATAGCAGAAAGAAAAACCCCCAAATTCGTTCAGAAACCAGGAGAAAAAAGGGGAAATGAAGAACCACAAGCATGCCCAAAGCTTCATGAAATTTAAAAAAAAAAAAAAAAAAATGGCAATGAACGAGTGGTAGAACAGAGCTCGCAAACCTGGTGAAATCGGCTGCGTAGATCTGGAAGAGAGAAAGAATTTGGGCTAATACGCCAACCGAACCAGACCTCTGTAAGAAGGCGAAGCTCAACGGTACAAGGACTACCCAGTGAACAAACCCTGTATTTATAGCGTCCAGCCACCCTCCAGGCTACCGGAATAACCGGTTAGGATGCCCTAGGAACCAATAGGGAGACTGTAGGGACTAGGGACGGAATTTCGCAAGATTCTGCCGAGCCATTGGTCGCTGAAGATCCTGACCGTCGAAACAGAGTTGGTGAAGAGACCACCCGCGGGTAATCCAACGGACAACATTTCTCGATGACGTTCCGGGTTATGCCACTTCCATCCCGTTTCAGCTTCACGCGCTTCTCCGGCCAGGTAGAGTCAGCGACTTTAATTATTATCTTTTTACTAAAGTTATTTTTTCAAGTAGCGATTTTAATATTATAAAAATCATATATAAATAAAATCCGACGTGGAAGAAGGACACGTCAGCAACGTGCTTCATGCTGCCAACCCGTTTAAAAGCAAAATAAATTTGTGTCATTTTTTAATTTTACCAAAATCTTAATTATTCAAAATTAAAGATTTTTAAAATTATTTTATAAAAAATAAAATAATAATAATATTTTTTTTAGTGTAATAAATTTGGCTTGAAATGGAAGGATAAATTGAGATTCGCAGGAAACATGAGCCATGAATGCGACTGTACAGCTTCCTCTAATGCACTCATTTTAAGGCAAAATTAATACATATTTTTTAATTTGGTAATTCTAGATTTTCAAATTTCCCCAATTACCTCAAACTTTAAAAATTATGATTTATATTATATTTTATCTTTTTTAGTTTATTATTTATGACGATATTAATAGAAACAACGCTAATTATATTAATTTACACTATACAACGATAAAAGAAATTAAAAAAATAAAAGGGGAAAAACTAATTTGAGACTAATTATAAAATATTATAATTTTGTAAATTTATATAACAAATATTCTTTAAAATATAAATTTGTAATTACATTTTGATTTTGAAAAAAAATATTGTTTTTATTTAAAAATTCACTTAAAATGTTTGCTATCATCACCCACCCAAGTTCTTAATATATTTATAATTTCATTTTCGGGTTAGGTGGAGGTGAAATAATCTTGGTCACCAATCATAGACCATGTATTTGAATTCTTTCGGTTATTAAATTAGAGGTCAGTGCATAATAGATGGACGAATTAATCTTCATTATTATCTAAAATAATTATTATATTAATATATGAGATAGACATGTCTATAATTAGCGAAGATTTAATAATTTTAATTAATTAACTATTATATACCAATTAATTATACTTTATGTTATAAAGTGTCATGATAAAATTGCACTGACTATTGTTATTAAATGTGGATGGATAGTATAAGGTGAACGAGATTCTTGTTACCAATTAAATCAATGGATTTTAAAAATAATAAAAAATGAAATAGAAATAAAAAGAAAATTAAACACCCCTGGGAATGGTTTGGCCGGTGACCGCCGCCTACGGGTTGGCCCTGCCGTCGTCGGGCGACGACTGCGTAGGCGGGTCTGATTGGCCCATGAAAAATGTGTGGCTGCGGATAAATATGGGGTCAAAATATTATAAAAAACGTTTTATTGTCAATCTCACAATTTTAAAATGTGTCTACTTGAAGTTTTTCCACGTTTATAAGAAAGGTTTCGTTTTTCTCTGTGAGATCTCACAGTCCACCATTTGGGGGCTCAGTGTCCTCGCTAGCACACTGTTTAGTATCTAGTTCTGATACCTTTATAATGGCCCAACCCCACCACTGGTAGATAGTAGATATTGTCTACTTTAGGCCATTACGTATAAAATTGTTTCATTCTTCTTTCCAACTATTATGGGATGAGAACATGAGTCGTCTTGTTAAAATTAGGTTGCCCACACAGAGTTGTCATCTTGTTATATATATATATATATATATATTTCTCCGATTATTGTATTTTTTTTTGTCACACTTGTCATGTAAATTAGTGATAATAATATAAAGTTGAGCAAGAAAATGAATGGTAATGTCTTTTGGGGGCAAAGCAATTAGGCTTGAACTTCCTTTTCCAAGAAAGAAAGAAAAACGCGGTTTTATTTATTTATTTATTTATTTATTTATTTAATTATTATTATTATTATTATTATTATTGGGAACATGGCTTGATAGTGTGTGCCATCCATGTTTTGGTTTGGCAAAAAATAAAACTCTCTTATTTTTCAGTAATTATTATTTAGTCTTCCCCACAAGATCTGTGTTTCACTCTCTCACCTCTCCTATTTTTTTAAATTATTAAAATAGTCGTATTTTTAAATTATTAATTTATTAGATACAAAATTGAAAGAGCTCGACTAAATTTAATATTATTTTGTTATTTTAAATTCATTAAATAATATTATTAATTTATATAGAATTAAAAAAAAAGAGTGGATCTGGAGTGGGAAATGGGGGAGTGAGGGTGACGTGTTGATGGTGTTGGCACGATGGCAGTGATCTGTAAAGCTTCTTTGGCCGACATCACGACATTCATTTACCTCTGCCTCTCCACCGACACAACACTCTTTTTATTTATTTATTTATTTATTGCCAATATTAATAATATTTATAGATATTTTTAAATTTATTAATATTTTATATCATAATTAATGGTATAATAATGTTGACCCACATTTATAGAGTAAGATATAAGAAAATGAACAAATATTGAATTATTATAGTGGAGGAAGGTCACATGGCCTCTAATTTTCGGGATATATATTATTACATTTACTAATATATTGAGACAATAAAAAAAAAAAAAAAAAAAAAAAGAATTAAATTCAAATCCAGTTGGTTTAAAAAAACAAGAAAAGGACTGAATTGTCATTTGGCATGAAACTGAAATTATTTGGTGAAAAGACAAAAAAATGATGGCATTCATGTCTGGTCTGATCTGAACTAAACTGACACTCGCGTTAGAGAAGGGCAGAATTGTCATTTTGTTACCAAGCTGAAAAATATTTGATATATTTCACATTTTTTACAAGTCCAGTTGGTTAAAGAAAAAAAGAAAAAAAATGGTATAATTGGTATTTCGCATAAAAATGAAAGTATTTGGTAAAAAGACAAATATCCCAGTGCATTAATTCAGACGCTGTCCTAAATAAAAGGGTAAAATTGTCATTCTGTACGCTGGTGAAAAATGTCATAAAATATACAAAAGAATGCGGTGAGCGTGGATCGAACACGCGACCTTCAGATCTTCAGTCTGACGCTCTCCCAACTGAGCTATCCCCGCTTGGTTGTTGACTTATAAAATAAAACTTAAATAAATCATTTTAATATCTCTCTTTTTATTCATCTTCCGAGTTCTTCCATTTTGGACGTCATCGCAAAGAGATCGCTAATGGGGAAAACCAAATCCTTCAAAGATGAGTTCACCTACGGTATGATTGATCTTTTGTGCCTTGAAATTGGAGCTGATTATTGGTTACTGTTCTCTCGTTTGATATTTTTGGAGATCATTGTATAATTACGGCGTTGATTTTTTTCATAGAACAACGATTTGCGGAGTCGTTCGAAATCTTGGCCAAGTATCCCGATCGAGTCCCTGTAAGTTGCAAAATTCTCATCATATGTATCTTTGACTAGAGAAGATTCGGTTCTAGTTGCGTCAGTATCGGATTTTGTCGAGAAATTATTGTAGATAATGGTGAATTTGTGAATTTAGTCGATATATAATATCGGTGACTCGGAGAGTCGGTAGGTGTCGAATTCTTTGGTTCTTATTGTTCTTCATCTTTAAGAAATCTCAGCGAATGGCTCGCGTAATTTTCTATGAATGATGCTTTCCAAATAAGTCCTCTCGGCAAATGAAGTTCTGAAGTTATCAGATTATTTCCGTCAACGTTTCCTTTGCAATCCAAGAACAAAATTGTATGTCGATAGAAGATGCTTGTTGATTGTCTTCAAGCGATGCAACGGTGACTTCGATTTTTGTAGCCTTGAACAGAGCTATAGAATTGTTGCTAAAATTCAATGCCACGGAAAACAATATCCTGTCTGAATTATGTAATCTTCTTACGTTTTTGAGGAGTACATGCTAGAGAGAGATTCATTTCCTCCAGAATCCATGAAAGTGAAATAATGGTTTCTTTTTGATGTTTCGTCTGTAATTGCAGGTAATTGTTGAGAGATATGAGAAATGTGAACTGCCCGAGATGGAAAAGAAGAAGTGAGTTTCTCAATCTCCACCATGTCTGAGCCTCCTCAATGTTTCAGTTCTACTATTTTCATTTAACTGTCTCTGAAAATCAATTGAATGAAAACATATATTATCACCTTAGCATTGCACACTTCTTGACTTCTTGATTGGTAATGTTTGTTTTTGTTTGGCTATAAATCTTTTAGCTATCTATTTTTGGCCATCCCAAAAATCTGCATACTGTTTATCTATTTATACCTTAACTTACAGATATCAGTGTGATGGGCTTCGAAAAGTTGAATCATGTTTTGTCATAAAACACTTGGGTTCCAAAGCTTTCTCACCTTGTCAATTACCCATTTGATAGTGTTCTTGTACTCGTTCCTCTCTCCTTTCGATGTGATCGATGTGGGGTCTCACCCCTTTCGATGTGATCGATGTGGGATCTCACTGTTCTTGTTTTTTGTTACTTATTTCTTTTTCACATTTCTCATTTTTTTAAGGAACACGACTTGTCTATTTCTTGTTTTCAAAATCATAGTAACCTTTTCTAGAAAAGGGAAAAATTTGAGAAACTACAACAATCAAAAGAACATATATGTTTGTGCCAATATAGTTTTCCTTTCTCTATTGAATCTCTTTTGCTTTCTTATTGACTAAAGGTACCTCATTCCTCGAGACATGTCTGTTGGCCAATTCATCCATGTTCTGAGCACCAGGCTTCATCTAGCACCTGGAAAAGCTCTCTTTGTATTTGTAAAGAATACTTTGCCTCAAACAGGTAAGAGTTGCATTTGAGCTGATGCTGCTCTGCCTATTTTTTGCGCTTGCTCTCGTGTCGAAGTCTTTCGAATGCCAGTTACTAACATGCTAAATGATTGACCTCAAACTTTCGCTGTCAAAGTCTTTCGAATGCCAGTTACTAACATGCTAAATGATTGACCTCAAACTTTCGCAGCTAGCTTAATGGATACGGTGTACGAATCATACAAGGACGACGATGGCTTTCTGTACATGTGTTACAGCAGTGAAAAGACCTTTGGCTAGGACCATCTGATTGAGATTTGCCAATGCTGAAGCTGTATATCTCTGCTACTCCTCCTGCTGTCAATATATCCATAGACAAATTTGTTTTTATCATGAACATTATATATAATGCATATATCATACCTTCATATTTCAAATTATGTCCGAATTATAGATCCACTTTATCTCCGATGAACCCATAACTTAGTTTATAATGAAATCCTATGAAAAAGAACGTAAGTGTAATTTTAAAGAAACATACAATAGCATCAACTTTGCAGTTTGTTGAAAGGCAAGCATTCCTGTGGAAACATGAACCTTATAGGAAGGGTTATTAAATACACTCAAGGTGAGGTCTAAACATCAGAAAAAATTTCATCATGCAACATATCATATTATCCACACTATGATATCAAAATGATTACTCAGAATATGAAGCCATATGAAGCATGCCACGTTACAGGCCGCTTTTATCACCAATCCAAAAATTTCGCCATCCTTTCGACCCGTCTGGATGTATAAATCCTCCAGCCAGTTCGATCGCTCGCATTCTGTTGCTTCTATATCCACAAAATATTACATTCAACCCATCTGTGCTAGGAGAAGAGCCTCTGAGCACCGTTTCGCCACACACCCCGAACAGGCACTGCCCCAGCGGTATTGTTCCCATCCTCGACTCTTTCGGATGGGTCCGAGTCTGAAGCAGGGTTGGAGTTTTTTAAATCTAAGAGTGCAGCAACCGAACCATCGCCTAAACGAACTCTATGGAACTTGGAGGTTTTCTTTCTTTGCTTGCTCCCCCCACCATCTCCATCCCCTGTGCTTTGGTGGTTCGATAGTCCAGTAGACGTTTGTCTGTTTTGTCCTCCTGTCCCACTTTGCTGGTCATCAGATGATATCTTCGTTTTGCCTTTCAAAGCACGGTACTCACCCTTCGATAATACCTCAACATCTTCCTCCAATGGCCTGAGACTTGACTGCAGCTCCCGAACACTGCTCAAGATACCGTCTGCTAATCTGTCCTTTGAACTGTCCTTTGAACTCCTGTCTTTAACATCTGTAGACTTCCCTTTACCCTTCTTTCCCTTATCCTTGTCTTTAATTTGAATGCTATCTTGAGCCCTACCATTTTCTTGGATCACTTCTTTCTGTAAACTAGCATTATAGATCCCCACAAGTTCTTTCTGTTTCTGAGCATCAGGACACAGCCTAGCCAGTTCAAGCACAAGATGTGACAAACCGAACTGCTGCACACAGTCTAGGTACATTTCCGGGTCGATCTGACCTTGACGATATTGTGCAGATATATCTTTAAAAATGGCATATCTATCTTGGTCAAAATCAAGTGCAGCACGTATCTTTTCAACTAGAGATTTGTTTGCTGTCTGGACATCTTCCGTGTTCATCGAACTCTGGCTACTTGAGGGCACCTTCCGTGCCTGTGCCGCAGATACAGGAGGGAAATCATTAACCGAGGGTTCAGTATAAGCCATGTCGGTGAGATTGGGAGCAGAAGCAGAGTGGCTGATCCTACTGCTACTACTACCCGATCCACTCGAAGAACTAGTCTTACCCTTCACATGCATCTGAGCAGCATTTGAGTAACCAGAGCCCGAAGAGCCATTACTGATGGTCACAGCACCCTTAGTCTGCCCAGAACTGCTCGATGCCGTATGATTGACATTTATTGCAGGCCAAGCTTGAGAGGATTTATTTGATGGTACCACAGGCGCACGACTTGATTTTGGCCAACCTTGGGCAGGATTTATTACGGTCACATTCCTCTTGCGGCGAAGATGAGCAGCCATACTGTTATTATCTTTGTCCTGAATGGGTTTTGGATGACTACTGCTAGATGCTGTTGAAAGGGGTGGAAAGGATGATTGCTCCAATTGGGAATTCCTAGAATGACCCAATGCTTGAAGGTATCTAGAAGCTGATTCAGCATCTGTTGTGGATAATGATTCAAATGGTTCAATTAAGGGATCAATGTTGCTTATATTTCCCTGATCTGAGTCTACTTGACCGCTAGGTAGTGGGTCATGAGTGGTGTCATCAACATTGGCTGTTTCAAAGCTTTCTTGAATGGCTACAGAAAGTAGGTCGTCAGAAGAATCACGACGAAATGTTCGTCTACCACGGCGATTATCTTGGTCATTACTTCTTCGATATCGAAAACTGGTTGGTATCTGAAAAGATGAATGCACGAAAAGGAAATACGATGTAAAAAAAAAAAAAACATTAAATTGACATACAAGAGACAAACTGAATTCTTAAAGAACAGAATTGGGAGAGCAATAACATACCTGCAAAGCAGCATTTCGCTTTGATCGAGATAGCTTGCCACCATGTTCAATAGTATTATGCCTCTGAAAAATAGAAAATAGAAATGAAGAAACAATGCAATAAGATGGAGAAGGCCTAGAGCCTTACACACTTGAAAGAAATGAGCAAAAAAAAAAAAAAAAAAACAGAAAGCATTAACTAAAACACACACACACACACACACAAACCCTTCTTCAATGTTCTAAGTTACCTTCATTTCTGATTCAGATTGGAACACTATAAACTTCTTAGAAAGGCAGGTTTCATCTTCACAAAGAAAATGTGCTTGTCGGAAATGGATCTGTGGCCAAAAAGTTCGATGCATTACATTCAAAACTCAAAACAGTGATTAAAAAGACAGTATTTCATAGTTAAACAACTTGCCTCCAGGTCATCATAATTCTTATAATATTCATACTGTCCAGGATGGAGCCTGCAACCCAAAAAAAAAAAAAAAAAAAAAAAAAAAACTAAATTTAATCTCACTAAGCTACCAGTGAAAAAAAAAACGAAGATCTAGAAGTGTAATCAGTTTGATACAATTTAATTTTTACTCAAGTTATTAAAACGTTTGATTCCCTGAAGAAGAATAGTGGAACAAGAAAAGAACTGATTGGTTCAGTTCTTTTAATCCATTTCTTCTTCTTTTTTTCTTTTTATCATCCCAACCCACTTATTTTGCTGACAGAAATGGAGTTTATGGAAAGTTTAGTTACGAAAATATATACAAATTAATTTTAACCAATGAATCCTTCTAAAAGATACTGAATTCTGATTAGATGAGTTGCTAATCAAGTCTATTAAAAAATAGATTGAAGATTGTTCAAGTAAATAAAGAAAACAAAATGAAATCATGGTATAGTTCAGTTTAGGTTGGACTGCCAGTTTAGTTTAAATTTATACATTCTAATCACAAATCATGGATTCTTAGCTTACCTTTGGCATATATGACATGTATAATGTTCTGTTGACATATGAGTATACAGCTCATTATCTCCGTAAAAAGGAGTCCTGCAATACTCACACATTGGGTGTCCGGTGAAACCACCTCTCTCACTCTCACTTCCGTCCACCTCAGAGTCACCAGTGTGTATGTGCTGATTCAGTTGTGCTCTATTATACAGCTTTTGTTCACAAATAAAAATCTGAGACACCAGACAAGCTAATCAGCACTATGGTTGCAATCAAAGAAAAGATCAGATAAACTCCAGTTCAAGTTCACATATAATTATTGTCATCGTAACTATCTACTAAGAGTAGTCTGCTATGAATTTCAATGTCCAACCTACCATCGAGTAACTTAAAAAGAATAATAAGCATACCTTCCTTCCTTCCAAACAAAGGCTGCACATAAACAACTTATGTCGATGAAACAAATGACCCTTTAGCTGTTCAATATTCCGAAATCTTCCTCGGCGCTTTGAGCCATCATTTGGTTGATCTTCACCTATCTTATCACACACACTGCATGACAACCTGCACATTGCTTTTATCATCTTGTAGTGGTCAACGTCATCAAAAAATGCTTGCGTGTCTTCATGATACCAATAGGATCCACAACGACCTTCTCTAGGTTCAGAAGGAAAGACTGTGAAGTCGTTAATAGTCCTTGTATAATCTCCTAAGGCCTACAGCGGAACCAAACACGACAACATCAGCCCAATGAAACAACAAAACAGTCCTCCAACTCAATCAAATTACTATTTGAATAAGCACCAAATCCACATAATTATAAATTTCAGCACTGTGATAACAACCGAGTTCTCTCTTGTCTCTCAATAAATATGGAATGAGGGATGGGAGCTCCAGAGTATCAAGGACTATAACAAATCAAGATAATGGAGATAATAAGGTATGGTGGGAGCACATATTTCGTTTATTAGATTGTGTTTGTTAGCAGCCATCTAGAATTGGTGGCATTGAGATCTACAAGTATCATCCTTTCAATTTGAAGAAGACTTCAGAAATTTATCTAGTTCACTGAGGGGTGGCTTACTTCAGTTTCAAATTTCAATAGTCCTAACTACTCAGCAAGTCAGCTGAAAGTACAACTCACTGAAAATAAGAAGAAAAAAAAAATGCAACACTGAGAGCTTCTAAGGCTATAATCAATAATGGTGATTGTATCCGGAAAACTTCTGATCAATGTTATGGACACCAATATTGCCAAAAACATATTAAAAAAAACATTACAAAATATAAACCTCAATGAGAGATCGAGCTAAGTGGTGTTTTGGAAACTGTTCTTAACAGTTCTCTGTTTTCATTTTCATATTTGTTTTTGAAAATTTGTATTATAATGAAAAATTATTATTCACAACGAAACCATTGTTCCTAAGTTCATGATTTTGTTTTGTACTAACAAAGCGTAAAATTGTTTCTAAGGCAGTTTCCAAACAGCGCATTATCTATCAAAGAAATAAAGAAAAAAAAGAGAGGGAGAGAGAGAGAGAGAGATAAATGAACTATAAGTATATCACGGAGAAAAAGATTGAATAATCAGACGTTCAAAGTGCATACGACATTCCTTTGGTATAAGTATGACAGCCCGAATCGAACAGAAACGGAAACATAATCATAATTTAGAAAATTCATTAAACTAAAGTGAGAAACAAATATTCCATAAAGAAATCGAATAGAACTACAGCAGTAGATCACTTAAGAAACACCAAAGTTGCATATGAAAGAAAAATAAAGGTCAGAATTCAACAATTAAATACCGCCAAAGATTGAATACGATCATAGAACGGGGAATAGCTGCAGCCTCACCTTAGTGACGAAGACGACGGTGGATTCGGACTTGCAGATGCAACAACAGCGATCACCGCAAATGAATCGAAGGCGAGCAACGCAGGTGGAGCAAACATCCCGATGGCCGCAAGAGCCATAGGCAACCCATTCAAGGGCATCGGCACACACCGCACAGCTATCATCCATTGTTGTGTTCTTCTCAACGATTCCGGGAAGGAGAAAAGTGTAATTGAGATCCTAAAAAATTGAGGGGAATTCGGGTTTGAAGAATCTGGAATGAGGAGATGATTAGGGTTTGAAGAACGAGATGGATTCCCAGAAAGTTCTTAAAAAGGGCCGAAGGAGAATTCGGGGCGCCGAGACGAAACTCACTCCACATACCAATTTTTTCTTTTTATTTTTATTTTTTTAATTTCATGTCCTTCTAACAATTCCAATTTCCAACAAAATAAATAATAATTTAAAACTATATTTCGTATTTCTCTAAACAAATATTCTAAAAATTCCAAAATTTTGAAATTACCTTATTATTAAAATACCTTCCACTTTCAAAATATTTAAAAAATATTCCCAAATTTCATTAATATCTTTAAATATTTTTAAAATTTTATAAAAAAAAAATATATCTATAAACTCTTAAAAGTAGCATTAATATAATTAAAAAAAATTTACAATTATTTTTTATTTTAATATTTGTTAGACGTGTTATTTAGTTCTATTTATATATATTAACAGTATTTTTTTAATTTAAAAATATTAAAAAGTGTTTTTAAGGTATTTTTTAATCTAACACTTTTAAAAATTTAATAATATTTTTTAGTTGTATTTTTAAACTAATATATTAATAATTTTCATCTAAAAATAATCATAAGGATAATTTAAAAAAATAAAAAAAAAATAGGAGCAACTGTATTTTTATTAATTTAGTAAAAAAAAACAAAAAAATGGTAAAAATTAGAGTATGGAAGGTGAAACGATAGCATGTAATATAAATTATTGTTGACTTTTATTGTTATTTGGATTTTAGAATTAAATCAATTACTCGGTAATTATAGAGCTCGCCACCATTTATGACTTGGGGTTATTTTAGTCATTTTACTAATTTCAATTTATATATTAAAATATATGTTTTGCCATTTTGCCAAACCTTTTTAGTTGGATTGGGCTTGGGCCGAACACCTCATTACAGCCCAAGCCCAATTACTTCCCACTCTCAAATACACTCTTTTAATATTAAATTGAATATTTGAATTTGTGATCCGAATAAATATATAAAAAAATATTATTGAGGTATGCTCGTGTTGACTCAGTGTTGAATATAATTAGATATATAGTTCATATTGAATTTTTAAAATTATATATATTCTCGAGTATTATAACAAAATTCGGTCTTCTAAGGTGAAGGAGGAAATAGTTTAATAAAATTAATTTCGAATTTCTTACAAATAAATATCAAAAAGTAAAATTAAATTGTTTGGAGCACACGCAAAACATATTTAATAATTTAATAACTTTTTTTTTCAATCCTAACGAATTAATTTTGAAGAACACGCATTTATATAATTTTTAAATAAATAAATAAATAAATACAAATATAAAATAAAATCCAGGGTATTACAGTAAAAGGAGTTGGTGAACGTGCGCAGCCTTTTCTGATCCATCCACTTGTTGTCCAAGTTTGTCTATTCAAAGTGGGGCCCATTGCCACTTGTTTTTTTTTTTTTTTTTCTTGGATTAAAAGAATATAAGACGAGAAATTCAAATGCTCTACTGCTCGTGCGGGCCGGTCAATTTCTTTGAGTTTCATTCTTGTGAACATATTCCCTAAGCGAGATACTTAACGCGTTGGCTATAGCACTGCACGGGTTGATACACACATCACCTAGTATCCATCGTTTACAGCTAGGACGTTTCTTCTGTCAAAATGAAATGACGAGAACTCATCTCGAACCAAGACATGATTTTTACTTGGTTAAATCGATTCATTTTACAGATTTGTTATTATGAGTTATTATGAGTAGTTCATACAAAGAACTGAAACAATACTTGAGTCTCGAGGTAGATGCTACATAGCTAGCTCTCGTCCTGTAAGACTGCAAAAGCAATAGAAGAATCCATCGACGAGATGATCTTGTTAAGATGCTCATCACATGCTCGGCAACTCGCATACATTAAATAAATTTACCATTTCAATTTCACCTAAAAGGAGATACGCTACCAATAAAATCCGAACAATCCAACCTAATAACTTCCATTACAAATATAATTTTATAACAAAGATTTAAAAATTGGATATTCTTTAGGGACAATCAAATTCTATTATATAGAATTTGTTCCTTTTTATTTTAAAACTCCACTAAATCTCGACAATATTCCACGTGGCACACGACACATGTCATCAATTGAACGTTATCCAAAGCGGTTCATCAAACTCCCCCTTCAATTTCTCACCAACCACCTCATCTTTCAAACTCAGCCCGGAAAGCGCCAGCTCACTTCCATAATACCACGTGGGAGTCCCATTTTCATATGCACTCCACGTCAGTCTCCGCAGCCCGGTCCCGTCCAACCTCACCACGAACAGATCGCCATATGGCTGAAACTGATTGGGCATTGACACCGGCTCCGCTGACACCCCACCCAAATTCGACGTGAATAAAAGCCACTCCCCGTCCCTACTAAAGCACACGTGGTTAATCCTTTCTTTGTCCACGTCACTAGACCCCTCCGGTCCAGCCACGTGAACTCTCCTCAAATTCGAACCGTCCGGCCTGATGACATAGATACTGAACGTTTCGGTGTTCTCTGGATTATGCATGTTTGAAGAAAACGCTATGAGATCTCCGGCCGGCGACCAGCTCGGCATTGTGTCGATCCATGGTCCGTCAGTCAACCGTCGTGCTTCGCCATTGAAATCACCGTTCACAGCGTCGATGATGTAAAGATTCTTGTGTCCCGATCGGCCGGATCGGAATACTAGAAACTTTCCGTCCGGCGAACAAGCCGGAAAGGCGTTATTTCCAGTGTCCTCTTTTGTGAGAATCTTCACTTCACCGGCAACTTCGTCGCTATCACCATTGTTAAGATCATCGGAGTTGATCGTGGTCCGAGCGATTTGGACCGTCGCTCTCGCTGGCCCGAAAATGGGCCCCAGCGAAGAGTAGATCACGTTCTTTTCCGTTGGGCTCCACGAGTTGTAAAAAGCGGTTCGATCTTTCAATACGGTCCAACATTTTGAGCCGTCTGCTTTGACGATTTTTAACCCGACGAAATCGGGATTAAACGCGATGAAATTGCCGTCAGGTGACTGTGTTGGGAACGAACCGTTTATTCGGATCAAACGGAGTTCATTAATTGGGGAAATTATCCGTTCAAAATGGGGAATCGTTAACTCGCCATGAGACGACTCTCCACGGAATCGGTGGTAACCGATGTACTTGGAATCCGGCGAGACAAACGGGTTGTAATGATGAAAACTGGGATTCAATTTCTGGGTAATCGGGTCGAATTCGTCTGTCCCGGAATTGTAAATCTCAATGTGTCGGAATTTGTTGTCGGGTCTTCGGGTAGCGACGACCACTCGTTTCCGGTCGTTCATGGCGGCCGGAGTGAAGCAATGGAGACCCGCCGGAGTAACCCGGATCGGAACAGGGGGGACAGAGGAATCGAGATTTTCAGGAATCTCCACTCTAAAAATGCTCCACCACCCATCCTCGGCCTGCCGGTGGAAGTAGACGGTGGAGTCGCCGGACCACGACGGCCATCCGCCCCGACCCGAAACTACAACTCGTCGATCCGGGTCAGAAGATCTAAAAACCACAATTTCTGTGTGGAGCTCCTGAAATTCGCCGCCCCAAGAACGAGAGCCATAAGAAGCAACCGCGACGAACTTCCCACTTTCCGAAACCGCCGGACTGAAGTCGACAGACCCACAAGGAGTCAGGCGAGTCACCGAATCGGAACCGTCCAACCCAGTGAAATACAGAGCGGACCAGCTCGTGAAGGGCTTATGGGGGTTTTCATGAGCGGAGATAAAATAGAGGCGATCATTTCTGATAATGGGTCGGTCGTGAAAGCAGCTTCCGGGGGCGGAAGGTAGCAACTTGGGGGCGGAATTGGGAGAATTGGAGAGATAAACTCTAGGGGAGCCAGATCGTTCAGAGATGAAGACGATGGATTGTTGATTATCGACGAATTGGGCATTGAAATTGACGGAGATTCCGTCGGTAAGGCAGTGTTCGGTGGTGGGAGAACTGAGTGGAACAGAGAAGGTGTCGAAGCCGTATTGAGTGCGTCCGACGGTGGTGAAGATGACAGTGCCGGTGGGGTTAGTCATTTGGGGAAGTGGCGAAAGTGAAGAGTAGCGAGTAGTGAGAGAGAAAGGAGAGAATTTGGGGACAAATTAATAGGGAATGGAAGTGGAGTCTTACGTAAGAGATGAGACAGCGGATTTGGAATCTATGCTCATTTTTCTCGGAAAGAAATGTATAAAAATCTTTCTTGGTGGACAAGGATAACGGTTGAAGTGTTCGACTCCAACACTAATTGTAATAGCCCCACCTCTTTCGACTTTTCCTTCCAAGCTTCCGCTCAAAGTTTTTAAAACGAGTTTATTAGGGAGAAGTTTTCCTACCCTAGTAAAGAATGTTTCATTCTCCTCTCCAACCGATGTGGGATCTCACAATCCACTCCCTTGGGACCCAACGTCCTCGACACTCGTTCCCTACTCCAATCGATGTGGGACTCCCACCAAATCCACCCCCTTCAGGGCCAGCATTCTTGCTGGCACATCATCTCATGCCCAACTCCTTCGGGGCTCAACCTCTTTGTTGGCACATCGCCCGATGTCTGGCTTTGATATAATTTGTAATAACCCAGCCCTAGCAGATATTGTCCATTTTGGACTTTCCCTTCCAGGTTTCATCTCAAGGTTTTTAAAACGCATTTGCCGGGGAAAGGTTTCCACACCTTTATAAAGAAGGTTTCGTTCTCCTCCCCAATTGATGTGGGGATCTCATACAATTTGTAATAACTCAGCCCTAGCAGATATTGTCCTCTTTGGGCTTTCTCTTCCAGGTTTCCCCTCAATGTTTGGGCTTTCTCTTCTAGGTTTCCCCTCAATGTTTTTAAAACGAAGGTTTCCACACCCTAATTAAAAATGTTTTGTTCTCCTCACCAATTGACTGGGATCTCATAAATCCCAAACATGGTAATTATAAAACAAAATTTAAACCAACAAATGCTTCAACAAATGACTTTCTCATGATAAATCAAGAAATTTTCAATTAGAGCATCTAAGCAGCACAAATATTTCTGCATTTAGCAATAAGTAAATGGTTTTCAGGGGAGATGCTAGATGGGACATACTTGACAAGCTGTGTTTCCAAGCCACATTCCTTGAGCCACATTAGTCTTCCCATATCAATAATCTCCTTGCACATAAATCCCAGGACTGCTCTTTCCACTGGATTCATATGTCTAGCAATGTCTTCTACCGTGCTTCCGTTCATTCCATCGCCTTCGTTTTCACTGTAACGATACGAGGTTTAAGTAAAATGGCCATCGTCCATCACGAGGCTGCAATACGAGCAGTAAGCGTGTGATAATGGTTACCTAGATTGAAGAAACGTTTTCGAGTCTGAAACATCTGAAATATCTTCACTGTGATTAGCATCCACTGCCCAACTAGTGAACCATGTAATAGCAAGAAATTCTTCTTTTGCGATTCCGAGTTCTAATAAGTATTTCTTATCTGCAGGGAAGATCATCTTTAGACAACTATTGAGTACTGAAGTTGAACAAAAGAAAAGGAAAAGGCTACCTTAGTTGAAGCATATAATGGCAAGATGTAAAAGGATTGCTTACTTGTGTAATGCTTCCATTGACAAAGGTGATGACAACATGTCGCTATAGCCAAACCTCTCAATTTTGGCCTATCTCCGCACTGTTCAGTATTGACATGATTGGATTGTTTGGTAAGACAACATCTGAGAGCCAAATCTATGAAATAAAATAAGTATTAAGACAACATTAGTTGGTGTAACAACTAAAGTTTACAATGAATTCATTAATATGATTGAACAACCTGTTGCAGGCCCACAGAGATGTTTGCCAATAGCCAAGTAAGGATCATGCCTCAAAGATTCAACAGCATTCAGGTTTAGATCCTCAACTGTATGAAAGAATTTAACCATATTCATCATCAATATCGAGAATCAGATGGAATTAACACAAGAAAGAACTTAATCATACTGCAATTAGGACACACTAAACATTTTCAGAATGCAGGTATATGGTTATTGTGAGATCCCACGTCGATTGGGAGAGGAACGAAACATTCCTCATAAGGGTGTGGAAACCTCTCCTAGTAGACGCATTTTAAAATCGTGAGGCTGACGATGATACGTAACAGGCCAAAGTGGACAATATCTACTAGCGGTGGGCTTGAGTCGTTACAAATGGTATCAGAACCAAACACTGGGCGGTGTGCCAGCGAGGACGCTGGCCCACGAGGGGGTGGATTGTGAGATTCCACATCAGTTGGAGAGGGGAACGAAACATTCTTTATAAGAATGTGGAAATCTTTCCCTAGTAGACGCGTTTTAAAACCATGAGGCTAACAGTGATATATAACGGGAAAAAACAGACAGTATCTACTAGCGGTGGGCTTGGGCTGTTACAATTATAATTTACCTTTCTAGCTTGTTAAAAGACAGTCTTTGAATTTGCATTAAATGAAGTTGGAGAAAACCTTACTGTCGATTCGCAAACGCTCTAAAACCAAGCTCTCCTTCTGTCGCAGTGATCGATCAGCCTAGAGGTTGAATTGACATAACAAAACACATAAAGATAAAGAATATAAAGCCAAATGAAGTTTAGTTGATCCATTTGCTAAAAACCTAGACATGCATAACGACGAAATCTCGAATTCTAACCTTCAGTTTGTATGATTTCCGCTCAACCAGAAGCACCCTTTTTATACCATAGCAATCCGCAAGCATTTGAGTTAAGTAGCCTCTTCCTGCCCCGAACTCAATTACCGCAGGGGCAACATTAGCCTCATTGCCACACGATCTGTTACCCTCGCATTGTTCCCCTCCATCATAATTCCTCAGCACTCCAAATTCCTCCATGTTCCCAAGAATCGACGCCTGCTGCAGAACATGTTTCTCTTGAAATGGAATTTTCCTACCCAAAACAAAACAGAGCATATTTTACAAAACCCATTAAATCTCATGAAAGAAACCAATTGCTAACAGCATAAGTACCTATCTATTTCTCCTTTAATCCACATATTGCAAGCTTCCTTTATCCTATAAGAGTCTTGAATATCCTTGCATATAAGACCATGAAGAGCTCTAATCTTCGCAAGAAGCCGATGAAATTCAGCTCCAGACATTCCATAAACGATATTCCTCTTCATTTCAGAGGAAATGCTATCTGACAAACCCGAAGCCAGTTCATCGGACGATATCGAATCCTCCTCCCCAGCATTGATGCCCTTTTGGTAGAACGGTTGGACAGCCAAGGATTGAGTTTGTTTCAATAACGGACACCTCTTTACATGCCATTCAAGATTTTCTCGAAGCACAGAGCTAGAGAAGTGAATAAATACAGAGAACATTATACACTACCAATTTTTACTAAATTCAAAGCTTAGATTTATATCAGATTTCACGAACACCAAATACACAGATGAGATATAAATGAACGAAACTTACTGAGACGGGTCTACAGGACATGGAACCCACTGAGTATCCGCTCTCGAGCTATGATTACCACAAAACCTTAAAAAAATCGAAAATCAAAGAACAATTATAAGAGAACTTAGCGATTGAAATAAGCATTAATTCCAGAATCTGTTCAAGGGGATGAGTACTTGGAATCGTTAATGGGAGAATTCGCACAGAATCTGTTCTTCTTTGGAAGCCAAAACTGACACCGGGAAGCCATTTCTAAACCTAATTCTTCACTCACCGGCACTGCCTTCAAGCTCGAAACGAACCCTAAAACCCTACGAAACTCTTCTTCACGGAGCTTAGAAATTGAATTACGAAATTTAGAAGATGCCGCTTGTTTGGATGCAAGAAAAAAATTCATTCCCGTACGGAATATGGATATAACCTTGAACGGGATAGTTACACTTAACCGAATTAAATTTCAACCCTAAATTATTTAGTAAATTACAAATAAAACTTCGATATTTAATATCACATTTTATTTAGGTTAAAATACCATTTACTTTAGAATTTATTAATTTTTTTTCAAAAATAATATTAGAATATATTAATTATTTCATAGTTTTTACTCACTATATATATTTTTAAATATTTTTATCACTTAAAAATAGCTATCGCTCATTTAATTATTTCTATTTAAAAAATAAATAAATACAATTTGCTACTTAAAAATTATTTATTTTTTAATTTTTATTTAAAAAAAATGGATAAATGCTACGAAAATAGACTAAGTATTGCTATTGATTTTATCCAACATGAAGATTTGACTCTCTCCCCTTGAGGCTAAATATATATATATATATTTTAAAAAATAATAATTAATATTGATGGGTTGACCAATTTTTTTTTAAATAATATTAAGGGTAAGATTAAAAATTTAAAAAGATTAAAGAAGAAATTAAAAATTATTAAAAAATATTTAATATATGCAACTAATAAATTATATAATATTGTTTGAATTGAATTAGTAATAAACGTGTGAATTAGAGAGAAGAGTTCGAACTTAGAAAATTTCATCTTTTCAGCCTATAAATATTACTGAACTTTGCTTCAATTGCTTCAATGGCTTCCATGGCTTCCATGGCTTCTTCTTCCCAATTGTTCTCAAAGCTCTCTTGCATCATCTTCTTCCTCTCGCTCTCCACTTTGGCTTCTGCAACCCTAAAAGTCGGTTTCTATCAATCATCTTGTCCCGAGGCCGAGGCCATTGTCAAGAATGCTGTAGATTGCGCTGTCTCTCGTAACCCTGGCATTGCTGCCGGACTCATTAGGATGCACTTCCATGACTGCTTCGTTAGGGTAATTTTTAAAATATTATTTTTTATTTGGTTGATGACTGTTAAGAGTGAGTCCTACATTGGCTAATTAATTGGATGATCATGTGTTTATAGGTAAGAAATACATCCGTACGAAACCTTTTGGGGAAACCAAAAGTAAACTCACGAGAGTTTATGCTTAAAATGGACAATATCATACTATTATGTGTTGTGTCGTAATGCCACAACAAAAAATGCTATGATACCCAATTGTTGTAGCGGAAGTGGAAGTAAGATCGATCGTACTCACACACCCATGATTAGAAATTAAACAAAGAGACACAAAGATTTACGTGGTTCGGATAGAAGAAATTCTCTTACGTCTACGGGTGTTAGCCAATTGTGATTCATAACATTAACATGTTTTTGGTTAATTTTAGGGTTGTGATGGCTCAGTCCTATTGGAATCCACTCGAGACAGCCCAGCTGAACGAGAGCATCCAGCAAACTTCCCAAGCTTACGAGGTTTCGAGGTTATTGACAAAGCGAAGGCAGAAATCGAGGCAATTTGTCCCGAAACCGTGTCGTGCGCCGACATTCTTGCCTTTGCAGCTCGTGATAGCTCCTACAAAGTTGGAGGTATCAGCTACGCCGTGCCAGCCGGTCGCCGCGATGGTCACATCTCAATAAAAGAAGAAGCCAACGCTCTCCCTCTTCCCTCTTTCAATGCCGATGAGCTCATTAACAGCTTCGCCCAACGAGGGCTGTCGGCCGCGGAGATGGTGACACTTTCCGGCGCACATTCCATTGGAGTAGCGCACTGCCCCACCTTCTCTAACAGGCTTCATTCCTTCAATGCAACTCATTCACAAGACCCTTCCATGAACCCCAATTACGCCGCTTACTTGAAGACCAAATGCCCGTCGTTGTCGCCGAGTGAGCAGTCGACGGTGGCGCTGGAGTTTTCGACACCAAATCGTCTCGACCATCGATACTACGTCGAGTTGAAGAAGCACCGTGGGCTGTTGAGCTCGGATCAGACATTGTTGAGTAGCTCTTCCACCTCGAGAATGGTATTGAACAATGCCATGCATGGCTCCAAATGGGCTGTGGAGTTTGGGATGGCAATGGCTAAAATGGGCTCCATTGATGTCCTCACGGGATGGCAAGGTGAGATTAGACGCCATTGCAGCTTTGTGAATTGATTCAAAGGAAGCTTTTTTAGTATGATTATTTGAATTAGTGAAAATTTAAGTTTGATATCTCTAAGAATGTTTTTATTTGTTGTTTTATTAAATGGAAGAAGTATAATAAAGATGTATGACTGTTGGGAACACGAATGGCATGATCATTATCATAGTGTCGTGGTTGAATTTGCTAAGGATCTAATGTTGGTTGTGCTATTTTCAAACGAATTCGTCTCATTTTGTAACATAAAGCACTTGCATGGTATGCATGAGCGTTTTTAGGGTTCTTCGTAAGAGACAATTAGGAACAAGAAGAGGTGTAACAACCTAAGCATACCGCTAGCAGATATTGTCCTCTTTAGGTTTAGCCCAGCGCTAGTAGATATTGTTCTCTTTAAGGTTTTCCTTCCAGGCTTCCCTCAAGTTTTTAAAACGCGTCTACTAGAGAGAGGTTTTCACACCCTTATAAACAATGTTTCGTTCTTCCCTCCAACCAATGTGAGATCTCACAAGAAGGTTGTGATTTGGTGTGAGAATAGTGTGCTTAGCGCGGGAAAGAGAGGGCTTATGAATCAAAGAGCACGTATAGAAAATGTCTTTAATGACGGGGTTGGTGGACTATCTAATGGATGACTATCTCTTACAACTACTGTTGGTCAGTACCCTTTTGTTTTGGGATTGCAAACAAAATTTATACTAATCGACAAAGATAAAAGCTCTTTTTTCTGCAGTGGTGAATTTCGACCCTTAATTTGTAAGGATTATGGAGCGTCCCGCTAAAATGCAAACTTAGATTAAGAATGATAGAAACAACGAATCTCTACGACGGTATGATATTGTGCACTTTGAGTATAAACTTTCACGTCTTTACATTTGATTTTTTCAAAAGATCTCGTACCAATGGAAGATAGTCGCTTATTCATACATCCATGATCTTCCTCTTAATTAACGTACGTAAGCTCCAACAATTCTCAATAAAAAATATATTATTATATTTAAAAATACATATAAATGTATTTTAAAACGTGGAATATATAATTAGTTTTCATATAAAAATCTAATCATTAGTGGAAATTTGAATAATTATATATTTTGACAGTTAGATATTATTAAAAATAAAATTATTTACAAGTTGACAACTTGACGTCTATGACTTCTTCTCTTCGTGTGTCGTTTTTTTAAAACATTAATTTATCTTATTCTTAGTCGTTGAAACTAAACGTACATATTTATATTATTAATCATTTCTTTTCCCACGTTTTTTAATTAACCAAATTTCAAAATCCGACAGTCAAAATTTTAAAAATAAAAATAAAAATAAAATTATCATAAGGTGTATAGACCGTTAAATTGGAAAAATATTTTTTACCAACTCCAGAGTTTACAATTCAATCCTATATTTTAGGGTTGAAGTGGATTAACCCGTCATATTGTTCTTTATTTATATATATATATATATATATAATTATTTTAAAAAATAATATTTACCCACAATGTATCTACGTCACGCGAATAACTAATATCTCATAAAATTAAAAAAAATAGTCAAACGCATCAATAACGTGTGTTACAAACATTAAATATTATCAATAGGATAGAGTTACGTTAGGTTGTACTCTATTTTCGATTTGGTCCGATTGACTCAACCAAAAAAATTTAACCCACGAACATAATCAAATTTTGATTTTTCAAAAATTCTTTAAAAAAAATAAACTAACCCAACGAGTCCAAGATTGCTTCGTCGAATGGACTGGCCTTTTAGAAAGCAGTAGAATGTTGGGTTAGCTACCTTGAGATGGTGTCTCATATCCCCCTGTTGGACATGAATGATAGAAATGCTAACCTGCATTTTCGGGGACTAGTCCGCTTCCCATTACTCGACGAGGGAAACCTTTCTTGGTTGGACCAACCCAACCGGCGGTCATTCCTGGCTCGGCTCTAATAATGCAATTCCAACAATCTTTATAGTTTGAGTTAGATAGTTCAGATTGACCGAGACCATTATTAAAAATGATCTCACTTCCTCTCAATTTCTAATAACATGTTTTCACCGTTCTTGGGTCAAATTTGAATTATTCTTAGTCAAAATTTTTAAAAAAAAATTCTAAAAATTATATATATTTTTTTAATAGTTTCAAAAGTTTGGTTTAGATTATAAAAATAGATAACATTTAAAAAAAAAAAAAACAAGTGACATTAGCCTTTATAAATTAAAGTTTCTAATCAAGCGCGCGTTAAATTACTAATCATTTCAAGCGCGTTAAATTACCAATCAAATCAAAAGTTGAAGTATATGATAAATTTAATTATATCAATATTCTATTACTTTCCAAATTAATTTAATAAATACATACCTAATTTGGGCAATTTGTGACAGACAAATTCAAACTTAGACAACTTCATATTAGCCGTCTTTGATTTTAGCCTATAAATTCATTACCCATTCCACCAAATTTCTTCATCAAATCCAAGCAAACAATATCATCATTCCCTCAAAAACCCTATTCTTCAATGGCTAATTCTTCTTCCCACAAGCTTTCCTACATCATCTTCTTCCTTTCCCTCTCCACTTTCGCTTCCGCAGCCCTAAAAGTGGGCTTCTATCGATCATCGTGTCCCGAGGCCGAGGCCATTATCGAGAACGTTGTTGATCGCGCCGTCTCTCGTAACCCTGGCATCGCTGCTGGGCTCATTAGAATGCACTTCCATGACTGCTTTGTCAGGGTATGATTCAATCTTTTTTTCTTGGGGTTTGTGTCGAGAATTGTTAGGAAAGAGTCCCACGTTACTAATTTAGTGAATGATCGTGAGTTTATTAGTAAGGAATATATTTCTATTGGTAAAAGCAAAACTATCCGAGTTTACACTCAAAGTGGACAATATCATACCATTGTGGAGGATCGTGATTCATAACATGATATTAAAGTCATGCCCTTAACTTAGTCCCACATTGGAATGAGTCCTTTTGGGGAAGGTTCAATATCATGCCATTGTGGAGGGTTGTGATTCTTAACATGATATCAGAGTCATGCCCTTAACTTAGTCCCACGTTGGAATGAGCCCTTTTGGGGAAGCAATATAATACTATTGTGGAGGGTCGTGATTTCTAACATGATATTAGAGTCATATCCTTAATTTAGTCCCACATTGGAATGAGGCCTTCTCGGGAAGCTTCAATATCATACCACTGTGGAGGGTTGTGATTCCTAACAAGTCTCACGTTGGCTAATGGAAGGTCGTGATTCCTAACAAGTCTCACGTTGGCTAATTAAGGAAAAAATCATAGGTTTATAAGTAAAGTCACGAGAGCATAATTTATGCTCAAAGTGGACAATATCAATAGTAGGCTCGTGGTTTCTAACACGATTCAACCTCGGGGTTTTCATTTTTGTTCGATTTCTAAGTTTTTTTTTTTTTGTTGTTGTAATTTTTACAGGGATGTGATGGGTCAGTGCTTTTGGAATCAACTCCGGGAAACCCAGCTGAGAGATATCATCCAGCAAATTTCCCGACATTACGAGGTTTCGAGGTTATTGATGAAGCCAAGGCCAAAATTGAGGCTATTTGTCCCCAAACCATGTCTTGTGCTGACATTCTCGCCTTCGCCGCCCGTGATAGCGCCAACAAAGTCGGTGGCATTAACTATGCTGTACCAGCCGGCCGCCGCGATGGCTGCATTTCAAGGAAGGAAGAAGCCGGAACTCTCCCTAGTTTCGCTTTCAACGCCGAGAAGCTCGCCAGCGAGTTTGCGAAACGAGGGCTGTCGGTGTCGGAGATGGTGACCCTCTCCGGTGCACACTCCATCGGAATAGCTCACTGCCCTACTTTCTCCGAGAGGCTATATTCCTTCAACGAAACTCATTCACAAGACCCTTCAATGGACCCCTCGTATGCTGATTACTTGAAGAACAAATGCCCGCCACCGCGCGGTGATCGGAGCGAGGAGGAGGCCGTAGCGCTTGATTTCTCCACGCCGCACCGTTTGGACAACCGTTACTATATTGAGCTGAAGAGAAACCGTGGGCTGTTGACATCTGATCAGACGTTATTGAGTAGCTCTTTGACGTCTAAGATGGTGTTGAAGAATGCTAATGATGGCTCCAAATGGGCTGCTAAGTTTGCTAAGGCGATGGTTAAAATGGGCAAAATTGATGTCCTTACGGGATCACAAGGCGAGATTAGGCGCCATTGCAGCTTTGTGAATTGATTTGAATGGTTCTATTTGAGCACCGACAGGGAAAGAAGTGGTTTGGTGTGTGTCTTACGTTAAACATTTGTTGTTTTGTTCAAATCCGCTACATTATTCCATTGTTTGTTGTTGTGATTGATTCATTGTTTTTTTGTTTGTTGAACTCAAAAAAAGTGTACATTTGTTGTTATATGAAACTTGTAATTCTCTTTATTGAATAATAGTTTGTAATTGATTGATTTATCAATAATCTTTGTGACGTCCTCCCAGTAGAGTGCATCGGTTGTCACAATCGCACTTTTCTTAGCTGTAGATTTGTGATTGTGTAGCACTCACACCCAGCACTGATTGAGTCATGTCAAGCCAACTTAAGATTGTGTCGCATACGGTCGGACAACGTATGCTCAAGCCTCTGGTCCCGTTTTGAGAAGAATATTATAGAAAACGAGGTAGAGAGATTTTGAAAGAGAGTATGAAAGCAAGATTGAGAGAGATTAAAAACGAACGTAATATGACTACAAGCAAAAGCACCACAACGGCTAAATATCATATAACTTTCTGGGTAGGGAGAGTTTGACAACTAGTCGTATCCCTCTATAATATATTTTGAGGCGATTTAGGTCTAGCAGGCCTAGACATGATTTTGCCGTCATACAAAATCTAGGTGGGAGGAGTTGACGACTGTCGCATCCTCCTTTAGTACATTCTAGAGCATTTCATGTCTACCAGACATAGACATGATTCTACCTGATCATCATACACTGTGCATCATGAAAGCATATAACAGATACCTGTCAAGGGTTTTGGCATGCCACGGGCATGCGACCATAGACAACATGCCTAGGACAAGCATGACCGTGACACCAGTGACTCACTTGAGTGCTCGATCTTCCATTACAAGTCATTTTGAAACGACACTAACCAAAACAAAGGGTGTAAATCAATCATAAAATGAAGCAAATTACATACAAAGCCAATGACGATCAATCCAAACAAAGAAACCCTAGTTCTTAAAATGGCAGTTCCTTCTAATCTCCCCTTGAGTTCCAGTCAAAACCAGCAGCTTCCCCATCTTCACCATCGCCTTCGAGAAATCCCTCATCCACACCGCTCCATTCCTCCGGTATCTCCTCACCGTCGCCGCCGTCAAAGGGTCAGTCGCCAACGCCTGATCGGACGACAAAACCCCCATCTTCCTCTTCAAATTCTCAAAAAACTGAACATCCAACCGGTTCGGCGACACATTATCCAAATCCGCCGTTATTTGATTCAACCTACTATGCAACGGACACTTGGTTTTCAAAAAAGCCGCAAACTTTGGGTCCAAAGACGGATCAGTTTGATTAATTGTATCGTTAAAGAAATAAAGGCGTTCGGAGAAGGCGCTGCAAGGAGCAATTCCGATGGAGTGGGCGCCTGAGAGAGCCACCATGTCTCTCAACGACAGGCCTCGTTGTTCGAATCGTTGTTTAAGGAACCCAATGTCGGATGTCGGAAATGGCACGTTGTCGGAAACGTTTGCTCCATGGGAGACCAATGAGTCGCGACGGCCGCCAGGGACTGCGTAGGTGAATTGACCGGTGATGGCGACGCTGTCTCGAGCTGCAAAGGCTAAAATGTCGGCGCAAGAAACTGTGTTTGGACATAGGGATTCGAGATGGGATTTGGCGTCGTCGATTACTTCGAAGCCTCGTAATAATGGGTTGGCGAAATTGTCTTTCTCCGAATCGGGGTTTTGCGGCGTTTTGTCGAGGAGTATCGATGCATCGCAGCCCTGTCATTGTTTAATTCATAGATAGAATTAGTGTTTATGTAACGAATGAGCCAATCACTATGAGATATTGTCATTTTTAAGCTTTTCGCTTCGGGTTTTCCTTCAAGATTTTTAAAACGCGTCTGCTATGAAAAGGTTTCTACACCCTTGTAAAGAATGTTTCGTTCTCCTCTCCAGCTGAGGGATGTGCCAGTGAGGAGGCTGAGCTCCGAAGGGGGCCTGGACACAAGGCAGTGTGCCAGTAAGAACATTGAACCCCGAAAGGGGTGGATAGGGGGGTTTCACATCGATTGGAGAAGCGAATGAGTGCTAGCGAGGACACTGGGCCACGAGGAGAGGTGGATTGTGAGATCCCACGATAATTGGGCAGGAGAACAAAATATTCTTTGTGAGAGTGTTAAAACCTCTCCCTACCAGAAGTGTTTTAAAAATCTCGAGGGACCCAGAAAAGGGGTGGATTGGGGGATTTCACACCGACTAGAGAAGGGAACGAGTGCTAGCAAGGACACTGGGTCCCGAAGGACGTAGATTATGAGATCTCACATCGGTTAGGGAGGAGAACGTGACAACTACTCCCTAACATAAACGTTTTAAAAACTCAAAATTACAATATCTATTAGCGGTCGATTTGAATTGTAGAAGGGAGAGTAAATACTAAATATAGAAGAAAACGTAGAAAGTTATGAAGATGGAGGAGTAATGGAGGCTTACTAGAACAATACAATCATGAAAATGCAAACGAATAAGGCCAGCAGCCATGCCAGGGTTGTGGAGAACAGCCTTCGCCACTGTGGCTCTCACAACGCGTTCAGCCAAAGGACATGTCTGACGATAGAACCCTAATTCCAAGTCTTGACAATAAGCTTTAGATGCCATGACTATGCCCACCATTAACAAACCCACAAGCTTGGCTTCTCCACTCAAAGTATTCATTTTGTACTAGCTAGCTTAGACAAGGAAGAAAGAGAAGATAGATGGATAAGAGTTCGTGATCGATCATATATATAATGAAAATTACGCATAATTTACTACGTCATCAACTTATCTTGAAATGTTTCTAAGAGTGAAGATTATCTTTATAAACAAACTCGGGTTCTTTAACCGTGTTTTTTTCTCACTCACATGCTTCCTCGAAAAATCTCCAAGATATCATCGAACATAAAGGTACTCCAAGTTAAAAACATGTTTAATCGATCGAAAAGACAAACTTTAATGACATAAAATATTTGTCGCATTTAACCACAAGACTTAGGAATATCCACAACACCATACCAATGTTCCTTGGGATTGATCGAAATGCAATGTTCAACAATTTTGTATGTTAAGAAATAGACAAAAAGTTGACACTTTTGTTTAAAAATAGTGTCATTTTTGCATAAATATAAATGTAATTACATTATTAAATTAGGTTGGGACATTTTTGTTTAGACCGGTTTAAATTATAAATAATTATTCAAATTTGTATTTCTAATAAAGATAAAAGGTTACTTTCATTTTAAAATTACATTCAAAATGGTTAAAAATAATTTTTAAAAGCGATGAAAAAATAAAATAAAAATAATAATATGAACTTAAATAGAATTAAAATAATTATATATATAATTTTATCATAAACAATATATATATATATATTTATTTATTTAAAAAAATTAACAATAAATTCAAATTAATTCGGTTCAACCCAATTTAGTTTTAAAGAAGGCATGAATTAACTCAACTCATCAAATTTTTATTTATTTGAGCGTAATTAATCGAGTTTAACTCAAACTATATAGATTGAGTTGGATCGACCGAATTTTTTTAGCACTCCAATGTTAAAATTTAACATTTAATTATTATATAATAAAAATAAAGATTTGAAATATTATTTAATATTAAAGATGAATATTATTTATTATTTAAAATTTAAGTGTAATTGCACATGGACGGTGGAGATTCCAAGATTTTGACTTTAAAATAAAATAAATAAAGAAAAAATCCAGCTCATCGCCACCTCATAATATTCCAATTTCCTAAATTTTTTAATAATAATTATAAAGAAAATCATTAAAATATTGCAAAAAGAACGGAAATCTCAGATGGAAGAATCGGGCGGCGGAATTGAAGAACAAACCATGGTGAAGCCGCCGTCGACGGTCAAGTTATGTCCACTAACATAAGCCGACTCGTCGGACGCCAAAAACAAAACCGCCTCAGCGACATGTCGACATTTCAATACGATCCCTTTCAAATTCGCCAGACTGCTTGTGTTTCTCTCCGCCTCCTCCACACTTATATTATAACTCTCACACGTCATCGGCGTCGCCACCCCGTACGGCGAAACTCCGTTCACTCTAATCCCGTACTTCCCCAGCTCACTACACGCCGTTTTCACCACCCCAACCACCGCGCTTTTCGACACGGTGTACGCAGCCGGCCCAACCCCACCCATCGCCGCTGCCACGCTGGAAGTACAAATAATCGACCCACGTGTCTTGCTTTTTACCATCGCACGTGCGGCGTGTTTAACCGTTACCGTCACGCCTTTCACGTTAGTTCTCATCGTGTTCTCGAATTCCTCCATGTCTAAATCTAGGATTCCGGCAAGTGGGCCCATCTTGCCGGCGTTGCTGAATAGGATGTCCAACCGGCCGTGTTTTTCCACCGTGAAGGCGACCGTTTTCTCGACTGACACCTCATCTCTGACGTCACAGTGGTGGAAGGTGGCTTGGTTTTGGCCGATTTCCGCCGCGAGTTTTTGTCCCAATTCGTCTTGGATGTCGGCGATGACGACAATCGCGCCGTTGGCTGCGAATAGTCTCGCCGTCTCCTCGCCGATCCCACTGGCGGCGCCGGTGATCAGAGCTACTTTTCCTTGTAACCTAAGAAATTAAAAACAGAAATAATAGTGAATAATTAAAATCAATTTGTTTGAACATAAATTGATTAAAAATCTTACCTTGGCTTCGACATTGTTCTTCAGAATTTGAGAATTGAACGAGATCCTTGATCGTATATATATATATATATATTAATATAAATCTTTGAATATCTTACTTATACGATCATGGGGATTTGTGACATTAATTAATAACTTACTAAAAAAATTATTTTTTGGAATCTATATTTTGTATATTTTAATGTTGTAATTATAAGGTGGGTTATTATAATAATTATTTTACTAAATTGGATTTGAAATTGTATGATGAATGTGTGGATGATATTAGGAGATGTCTAGCAAGGACGAAGCAGGTGCGGTGCTCGAGCAAGTGGGTGAGATTTTCTATACAAATTTCAAAAATTTTGGGTTCATTATTTGTACTCTGTGGAAAAACAAAATGAATGGGTGGGTCCTATATAATTAGAACAAAATTCATTCGGTTGAATTTTTTTAAAATGAAAATTCGGGAAAGTTCACCCGTGATCAGGTCAATCCAACCATTCAACCCAACTCTATTTTTAAGATTATTATTGATATTAAGACTATTTGATGGTATTGATTGGTTGTAACTTGTATTTGTATTGTATTTATGTTTTATGAAATTTTAGTTATTAATATAAAAAAATTAAGGATCCAATTCAGGTAGGTGAGATTTTCCATACAAATTTCAAAAATTTTGGGCTCATTATTTGTACTATATGGGAAAAAAATGATTTGGTGGGTCCTATATAAATTAGAACAAAATTCGATCTTCTTTATTTAGGAAAGTGTGGAAACGTAACGTAACAAAACTAGAAGGGTGTGGCAACCAGGAGAACAAAATGAAATTTGAAACCTAAGGAAGAATAGAAGGGTGCGGAAACAGAACGAAACTTGAAACTTAAAGAAGAATAGGAGGGTGTGGAAACCGGGAGAATAGAACGAAATTTGAAACCTAAGGAAGAATAGAAGGGTGTGGAAATCGGGAGAACAGAACGAAACTTGAAACCTAAGGAAGAAACATTCTTTATAAAAGTGTGGAAACTCAAGAGAACGAGTGTTAGCGAGGAAACATTCTTTATAAGGGTGTGGAAACCCAAAGGAACGAGTGCTAGTGCTAGCGATGACACTGGAGGAAACCGAAGGGAACATAACGAAACATTCTTTAAAAGGGTGTAGAAACGTACGGGAACGGGTGCTAGCGAGAACGCTGAGTCTCGAAGTGGGTGAGGGGTGGACATGAGGCGATGTGCCAGCAAGGACGCTGGACCTTGAAGGAGATGGCTTGGTGGGTCCCACATCAATTGGAGAAAGGAACGAGTATCAGTGAGTACATAACGAAGATGTTCAAAGTTGGAAAAACTTTTATGATTTCTTTCGCACATGATTCACGATTATTCATTTCCATATTTATCATCAATGGCTTTTCTTCAACTCAACCTATAATCCTCTTGGATCGATTAAGTTTTATTTGAATTTGAACATACTCATCCCATTTCAAACTACATCATTCAAATCATACACTAAAAGAAACGAATCACCCTATTGATTTGACCGCCGTGAAGCCGCCATCGACCACCAAGTTTTGACCACTTATATAAGCTGATTCATCCGATGCAAGAAACACAACGGCCTCAGCTACATGGCTAGCCTTCAGCACCGCACCCTTCAAGCTTGCCGAGGCAGAAACAAGCTCTTCAACCTCACTCTCTTCCATATTAAAAGACTCACAAGTCATCCTCGTCGCCACCCCGTACGGCGACACACAATTCACCCTAATCCCATACGCCCCGAGCTCCCCGCAGCACGACCGCACAACCCCCAACAACGCATGCTTCGAGGTTATGTATGCTGTCGATGCTATCCCACCAAGCATCGATGCCGTGCTCGCCATACATATGATCGACCCTCGTATATTTCCTTTCACCATTGCTTGTCCAGCATGCTTGATTGTCGCTACTACCTAAAAAAAATAACTTAATGTATATCGTAACTGATCCACTTAAACTTTTGAGTTAAGTGTATGAACAGAACATACCCCACGAACGTTGGTTGAAATTACGTTGTCAAAGTTGGACATGTCGAACTCTAGAATTGAAGTAAGAAAGCCTGTTATGCCAGCATTGCTGACGAGAATGTCGAGACGACCGTATTTCTCAACGGTGTAGCTCACGGTTTCTTCGACTTGGTTCTCGTCTCTCACGTCGCAGTGATGAAAGCTGGCTTGGTCGACGCCGATGGAGGTTGCTACTTTCTGACCCAGTTCGTCGTTGATGTCGGCTACAACGACGTAAGCACCGTTGGCTGCAAAGAGCCTCGCCGTCTCTTCACCAATGCCATTGGCAGCTCCGGTTATGAGAGCCACCTTCCCATGCAGCCGCCTGGTTGAGAAACTTGTAAGATATTGAGATGTTGGTAATGGACATAAAGAGAGAGAATTGACTGTTACCTTGTGGGTTTAGACATGGTTGAGATGGTCTTCAAGCTATGTTCTTTGCTATGTTCCTTGCGACTCACTATCACGACCCGAAATAAATAACCTCAATCGTGACTAACCATGACTATGACGTGTAGCGTGTAAACGAGAAATTCAAGGAAAACTTTATTTAAAAAGTATTTCATTTATTTCGTAAGAAAAACGTTTTATTACTAAAAAGACAATAAATTTGTGGTAGACCCATGAAGATATTATTTGATCATCAATGTGTGGCTGAAAAAATAAGCAAACTCTTACTATTTGTCTTGATTTTTTTAAGCTATAAATAAGTAAGAGACTTCATGGCCTAACGTTAATAATATAAAGGGTTTAAAATAAGAGATCTCCACTGACTTAAGCATAAAAGGCGAAGTGACAAGTATCACAGGGAGTTATTTGACATAGTGACAAGTATCACGTGGTGTTATTTGTCTCATATTTGTGCTGAAGCCTTAACTATTCTTTGAGGATGATCGTGTGAGATCTTATATAAGTTGGAGAGGGGAACGAATCATTGCTTATAAGAGTGTGAAAGTCTTTCCCTAGCATATGTATTTTAAAATCGTGAGACTGACGACGATACGTAACGGGTCAAAGCGGACAAAATATATTAGCGATGGGCTTGAATTGTTACAAATGATATCAGAGCCAGACACGGGGTAGTGTGCCAATGAGAACGTTGGCACCCAAAAGGGGTGGATTGTGAAATTCCACATTCGTTGGAAAGGGGAACGAATCATTCCTTACTAAAGTGTGAACATCTTTCCCTAGCACATGCGTTTAAAACTGTGAGGCTGACGGCGATACATAACCGGCTAAAATAGACAATATTTGCTAGTGGTGAGCTTAAGCTGTTGATATCAGAGCCAGACATCAGGCGGTGTGCCAGCGAGGATGTTGGCCCCCAAAAGGGTGGATTGTGAGATCGCACATCGGTTGAAGATGAGAACGAATCATTCCTTATAAAAATAAATAACATTTAAAAAAATAATAATAACAAGTGACATTAGCCTTTAGCTGCTCGACCTCACCACCCCCTATCATGGCCGAGATGCTCGTCGTGCAAATGATTGACCCACGTATGTTTTTCTCCACCATTGCTCGCGCCCCATGCTTAATCGTCCCAACCACCTTTTTAAAAGTACGAATCCAAAAATTTAGAGGCTAAATCGGATAGATTCTTAAAATTTAAAGGGTATGAATAGATTTCCAAATAACATACTCCACGGACGTTGGTTGCAAATACGTCGTCGAAATCAGAGATGCCAAGCGATAGAATCGAAGCGAGAGAGCCCATGATGCCAGCATTGCTAAAGAGAATGTCGAGGCGGCCATGTTTTTCAACGGTGTAGCTCACCATTTCTTCGACTTGCTTCTCGTCTCTAACATCACAATGGTGAAAGCTGGCTTGGTCAATGCCGATGGAGGCAGCCACCTTCCTACCCAGTTCGTCATCGATGTCGGCCACGACAACGTAAGCGCCATTGGCTGCAAATAGTCTCGCCGTCTCCTCGCCGATGCCGCTGGCGGCTCCTGTTATGAGAGCCACCTTCCCATGCAGCCGCCTGCATCAGAAATTTTAGTACATAGATAGAGAAAGAGAGAAAGAAATGAGTGTTACCTTGGTTTAGACATTGTTAAGATGGTCTTCAAGCTTTTGGATATATGTTCAAATTTGTATCCAATCTTTTATACAAACACACCGCCTATAATTAAAATAAATTTTGATGTCATTAATGTCATAAAATAATTTAATTGTCCAATCCCGCACACCACTAGTATATATTGTCTTTTTTTTTTGTTTAGAAAATAATTTTAAATAAATTACTTTAATTTTGAATTAAATTATGATATTTAACTATCTATATTTTATTTGAATGATTATGTATTTACGTCGTATTAAATTCTATTTATTTTATTTAAATAAAGTTATTACCTTCGATTTTAGATTAATTTAGGTTAATTAAGGAATTTGACAATAAAAAAAAAGTTTATATTGAAGCTTTTTAGGGTAAGGCCACCAAAATTTAATTACTTTAATGACATGTTTAATTATGTATTAGTTGAATTAATCAAAATTTTAAACTTTCATAATTGAATCAATTTAAATAACTTCTTACAAAATTCATTTTTAAATGTAGATATTAAAAAAAACGCCTTTATTTTTTTCTACTTTTATGTTTTTAATTTTTGCTATTTTGATAGAATTTTGAGAGAATAAAACTAAAAGGGAAACCTAACGTAAATTAGAACAAACTTCATCTTCCTTGTTTAGGAAAGTGTGGAAACCTAACGTAACCAAACTAAAAGGCTGTGGTAATCAGGAGAATAAAACGAAACTTGAAACCTAAGGAAGAATAGAAGGGTGTGGAAACCGGGAGAACAAAATGAAACTTGAAACCTAAGGAAGAAACATTCTTTATAAGAGTGTGGAAACTCAAGGGAACGAGTGCTAGCGAGGACGCTGAGCCCTGAAATTCTTTATAAAGGTGTGAAAACCTAAGGGAACGAATGTAAGCGAGGACACTGAGTCCTGAAATTCTTTATAAAGGTGTGGAAACCTAAGGGAACTGAAATTTTTTATAAAGTTGTGGAAACCTAAGGGAACGAGTGCTAGCAAGTTAAGGGAACATAACGAAACATTCTTCATTAGAGTGTGGAAACATAAGGAAACGAGTACTAGCGAGAACGCTGAGCCTAGAAGTAGGGTGAGGGGTGGACATGAAACAATGTGCTAGCAAGGATGCTGGACCCTGAAGGGAATGGATTGGTGGGTCCCACATCGATTGGAGAAAGGAACGAGTATCAGCGAGGACACTCAAACTAGGGTGGATAAGCATGTGTACACCTTATTTTTCAAAACATTTAATATTTCTTTCACACATGATTCACGATTATTCATTTCCATATTTATCATCAATGGCTTTTCTTCAACTCAACCTATAATCCTCTTGGATCAATTAAGTTTTATTTGAATTTGAACATACTCATCCCATTTCAAACTACATCATCATTCAAATCATACACTAAAAGAAACGAATCACCCTATTGATTTGACCGCCGTGAAGCCGCCATCGACCACCAAGTTTTGACCACTTATATAAGCTGATTCATCCGATGCAAGAAACACAATGGCCTCAGCTACATGGCTAGCCTTCAGCACCGCACCCTTCAAGCTTGCCGATGCAGAAACAAGCTCTTCAACCTCACTCTCTTCCATATTAAAAAACTCACAAGTCATCCTCGTCGCCACCCCGTACGGCGACACACAATTCACCCTAATCCCATACGCCCCGAGCTCCCCGCAGCACGACCGCACCACCCCCAACACCGCATGCTTCGAGGTTATGTATGCTGTCGATGCTATCCCACCAAGCATCGATGCCGTGCTCGCCATACATATGATCGACCCTCGTATATTTCCTTTCACCATTGCTTGTCCAGCATGCTTGATCGTCGCCACTACCTAAGAAAAACTTATACATATCGTAATTTATCAAATTAAACTTTTGAGTTAAGTGTACGAACAGAACATACCCCACGAACGTTGGTTGAAATTACGTTGTCAAAGTTGGACATGTCGAACTCTAGAATTGAAGTAAGAGAGCCTGTTATGCCAGCATTGCTGACGAGAATGTCGAGACGACCGTATTTCTCAACGGTGTAGCTCACGGTTTCTTCGACTTGGTTCTCGTCTCTCACGTCGCAGTGATGAAAGCTGGCTTGGTCGATGCCGATGGAGGTTGCTACTTTCTGACCCAGTTCGTCGTTGATGTCGGCTACAACGACGTAAGCACCGTTGGCTGCAAAGAGCCTCGCCGTCTCTTCACCGATGCCGTTGGCAGCTCCGGTTATGAGAGCCACCTTCCCATGCAGGCGCCTGGTTGAGAAACTTGTAAGATATTGAGATGTTGGTAATGGACATAAAGAGAGAGAATAGACTGTTACCTTGTGGGTTTAGACATGGTTGAGATCGTCTTCGAGCTAAGCTCTTTGCTATGTTCAAATTTTCACACAACCAATATAAACATAATCATATATTGATAATAAATTTGTGGTAGAACCATGAAGATATTATTTCATCAATGTGTGGCTGAAAATATAAGCAAACAATTGGTCCTCAATTATTGGTTGCCTTCATTTTTTTTAAGCTATATATAAGTAGGACACTCAATAACCTAACCTTAACAATAGAAAGGGTTAAAACAAGAGCCCACTAACTTAAGCATCAAAGGCGAAGTGACAAGTATCATGTGGAGTTATTTGGCATAGTGACGAGTATCACGTGATGTTATTTGTCTCATATTTGTGCTGAAGCCTTAACTATTCGTTCGTGTGAGATCTTATATAAGTTGGAGAGGGAAACGAATCATTCCTTGTAAGAATGTAAAAGTCTCTCCCTAACATATGCATTTTAAAATCGTGAGGCTGATGACGATACGTAACGGGACAAAGCGGACAAAATATGTTAGCGGTGGGCTTGAATTGTTACAGATGATATCAGAGCTAGGGGCAATGTGCCAACGAGGACGTTGGCACCCAAGAGAGGTGGATTGTGAAATTCCACCTTGGTTGGAGAGGGGAACGAATCATTCCTTATTAAAGTGTGAAAATCTTTCCCTAGTACATGCTTTTTAAAACTGTAAGGCTGACGGCGATACATAACGAGCTAAAACAAACAATATTCGCTAGCGGTGGGCTTAAGTTGTTACAAATGATATCAGAGCCAGACTGGGCGGTGTGCCAGCGAGGACGTTGGCACCCAAGGGGGTGGATGGAGAGGGGAACGAATATAAACGTGTGAAAACCTCTCCCTATCAGACGTGTTTTAAAACCGTAAGGTTGAAAGCAATACACAGACCAAAACGGACGAATTGGCTTCCATTTCATCCCACAAGTTAATTTTCATTGCAATTGAAGGTGTGTTTATTCCTCAAAGTTCCAACTTTGAAATGTTTCAAAAGTAGAACATTATTACTCAAATCATACAAACCCTTAAGACCACTGAATCATACGGCTGATCTGACGGCCGTGAAGCCACCATCAACCACCAAGTTTTGACCACTTATATAAGCTGATTCATCAGATGCAAGGAACAGAGCGGCCTCAGCAACATGGCTAGCCTTCAGCACCGCACCCTTCAAGCTTGCCTTCGAACAAACAATCTCTTCAATCATACGGTCTTCCAAATTCAAAGCCCGGCGACTCATCGGCGTTGCCACCCCATATGGCGACACACAGTTCACTCTAATCCCATACGCCCCAAGCTCCAAGCTGCTCGACCTCACCACCCCCAACACCGCATGCTTCGAGCTTGTGTATGCCATCGGCCCCGCCCCTCCTATCGTGGCCGACACGCTCGTCGTGCAAATGATCGACCCACGTATGTTTTTCTCCACCATTGCTCGCGCACCGTGCTTAATCGTCCCAACCACCTTTTTAAAAGTACGAATCCAAAAACTTAGATATATTTGTATATGATAGGTTCCTAAAATTTAAAGGGTACGAAAAGATTTCCAAATAACATACTCCACGGACGTTGGTTGCAAATATGTCATCGAAATCGGATATATCAAGCGATAGAATTGAAGCGAGAGAGCCCATGATGCCGGCATTGCTAAAGAGAATGTCGAGGCGGCCATGTTTTTCAACGGTGTAGCTCACCATTTCTTCAACTTGCTTCTCGTCTCTAACATCACAATGGTGAAAGCTGGCTTGGTCGATGCCGATGGAGGCAGCCACCTTCCTACCCAGTTCGTTATCGATGTCGGCTACGACAACGAAAGCGCCGTTGGCTGCAAATAGTCTCGCCGTCTCCTCGCCGATGCCGCTGGCGGCTCCTGTTATGAGAGCCACCTTCCCATGCAGCCGCCTGCATCAGAAATTTTAGCACATAGATAGAGAAAGAGAGAAAGAAATGAATGTTTACCTTGGTTTAGACATTGTTAAGATGATCTTCAAGCTTTTGGATATATGTTCAAATTTGTACATAATCTTTTATATAAATACATCTCCTATAATTAAAATAATTTTTAATGTCATCAATGTAATAAAATAATGCCAAAAATTCAATGATATATATTTTTAATGTGTATTTATCTATTTATGTCGTATTAAATTCTATTTATTTTATTTAAATAAAGCTATTACATTGGATTTCTTTTGTTTTTTAATTGAAGATACATGTACGGACCAATTGAATTATGCTCAAATTTCACAATAAAATTATATTTAAGGTTAAAGTTTTAATACTTTCCTTTGTCGTGGGGCCATCTTCCTAACTGGGACTTGATCTATACTCTTGCTATACTACACAACACGAGTGACGGGTGAAGTTGAAGCATACACAGTTAGGACAAAAAATCTTTCTCAAGCTCAGATACAGGAGACTGAATCACTATGCAACCATGAAACTGCAAAGTTCGAGACTCTAGTTCCAATCTATCGTGCTTGTCAACTTGAATCACTCTTTAACAACCCAACTAGATGTTAGGATCGCATAACAATACACACACTTGATCTAGATGAACACAAGAACAGGATAGAGAAAATGCAAAGAGAATATTGGCTAAAAGATTTGTATGGATGACTACACGTATGTACCGTAGAAGAGAATATATAGAGAATATATAGAGAATATAAAAATTACATTTTGCTAAGATATATATATGGTTTAGCTTATTATATATAGTTTTACCAGATACAATCATCTACTATGTATAATTAGATAGAATACAGAAAATATAGAAAGTACATCTTTAAAGCCGAGATATATATATGGTTTAGTTTACTATATATAGCTTTACCAGATATAATCATCTACTATATATAAGTATCTACATATATAGTTTTACCAGATATATCTTTTTTACTATACATAGCTATTTATATTTATGTTATTTTTTTAATAATCGGCCGCTCCATAACCTAACACTGGACAATTTACCACTAAGGCCACCGAAATTTAATTACTTTAATGACAAGTTTAATTATGCATTATGTATTAAATTTTTGGGTTCTCGAATTAATTAAAACTCTAAATTTTTATAAATGAATCCATTTAAATAAAATCGTGTAAAATTATCTATATATATAAACGTTCTAAATGTAGACATTAACATAATATTAAAGAAAAATGTTATTATCAATGGGACAATAGCAACTTTTTATTAAGATTGAGTTTCATGGGCCCGATGAGTCGAAGATATATGTCTCAATCGATTGTGTTATGCTCAGATTGACTTAATAATACTAAGACAGAGATTGATAATACAAACGCTTTAACAACACACAATCATATGATTGGTCGGACCGCCGTGAAGCCGCCATCGACGACCAAGTTTTGTCCACTTATATAAGCTGATTCATCAGATGCGAGGAACAGAGCGGCCTCAGCTACATGGCTAGCCTTCAGCACCACACCCTTCAAGCTTGCCGATGCAGAAACAAGCTCTTCAACCTTACTCCCTTCCATATTCAAAGTCCGGCGAGCCAGCGGCGTTGCCACCCCATGTGGGGACACACAGTTCACTCTAATCCCATATGCCCCGAGCTCCAAGCTGCTCGACCTAACCACCCCCAACACTGCATGCTTCGAGCTTGTGTACGCTATCGACCCTATCCCTCCAACCATTGATGCCACACTCGCCATGCAAATGATCGACCCACGTATGTTTTTCTCCACCATTGCTCGTGCGCTGTGCTTGATCGTCCCAACCACCTTTTTATGTAAAACGTTCAAAGGTTAAATACGTGCTCTAGGACTAACTTATGTATTAGACATCAAATGATCGACCACATATGCTCAAAGGTTAAAAATGTATTAGACAGCAAATCGAAAATTCGAGAATCTATTAGCAAATTTTTTAGGTTATAAGGACACCATAACGATTAGCTTAAGATTTTTGGTATATAACATACTCCACGGACGTTGGTTGCGAAAGTGTTGTCGAAATCAGAGATGTCAAGCGATAGAATTGAAGCGAGAGAGCCCATGATGCCAGCATTGCTAAAGAGAATGTCGAGACCGCCATATTTTTCAACGGTGTAGCTCACCGTTTCTTCAACTTGCTTCTCGTCTCTCACATCACAATGGTGAAAGCTGGCTTGGTCGATGCCGATGGAGGCAGCCACCTTCCTACCCAGTTCATCGTCGATGTCGGCTACGACAACGAAAGCGCCGTTGGCTACAAATAGTCTCGCCGTCTCCTCGCCGATGCCGCTGGCGGCTCCCGTTATGAGAGCCACCTTCCCATGCAGCCGCCTGCATCAGAAATTAGTGTTGTGAAGATTGTGTGTGAAATCCAAATCTTGATAACAGAAATAAAGATCAAAGAGACAAGACAATGTTACCTTGGTTTCGACATTGATAAGATAGTCTCCAAGCTTACAAGTAACATAAGTTTTAAGGATATATCGATGTCAACTTACCGATAAAAGTCAACCATTTAATAAATTACGGCTATAAGTTCGGGCTATTTCATATTTAAATTAAGTAAATTGCTTTGTTTTTAGTTTATCGATCTATAAAGTGAAGATTTGAATATTTAATCTCTCAGTCAATAATATATAAATAAATAAATCATTATTATTATATTATTTTAAGGACAAAAATATTGAAAGATGGGAATAAAATCAAAATTGTAAATAAAAATAAAAATATTAGTTAAATAATATACCTTTTGTTTTAATTATTTAAGGTCAACTTTATATTTAATGATGCTATTAGTAGTATATAGATTTACAACAAAGTCACCCAAATTTAATTACTTTATTTAATGATATGTTTAATTATGCATTATTTTTTTTTTTTTTAATAAAAATCAATTTATATGTAATGGCAGGTTTGTAAAAAGAAACAAAAATCGTCGGGGAACTCGCGAGAACTCGCGAGAACTCCGGCAACTCGGCAGAGGAGAAATCGCGTCTTATTTATGGCGATTCCCACTTGCAGAAGTATTAATTCTAGGTCACTGTTTCTACCGGAGCTCGTCTTCAAAATCCCACGCGGCCCCTCGAAGCGCGCCGAAACCCTAAATTCTTCTATGGAATGGCGGAATTGAACGTAAATGCACCATTTCTTTCCTCATTCTTAGTTTCTTTCGTTTATTGATTCTCTATTTGCTATGGTTTGTTTGGATTTCAACTCCCAATTCTTCTCTTGATTGGTTTGGTTGGTGCAGTTCTTGATATTTTGAAATGTTCTTCCAGTTCGTTCTGTTCTTGAAATGTTATTTGATTATGGTCTAAATTCAAATATCCATTGCCAGTCTCATGAAGCATTCTTACTGTCTCGTGAATTGTTCAATTGATTTCGTTCCGCTGGATCTGATTGTCGTTATTACTACTTCTGAGCCTTTGCTAGTTGAATTCATACAGAATCTTGATGTTGTACGATTTTATCCAAAGGAGCCTAAGAAAATTTGAACATATATGCATAAATCTTCATTGTTACTCTGTTACAATCTAATCCTAGTTTCGAACATTTGTGAATTTCCTGTTTTGGTTGTTTTCAGTTGACGGTCTCCTATGGAGTTCCTCCTCTTTTGCCTCCTGTGGCCACTGTAAGCATTCCAGCCTTTAACCTTGTTTCAGTTCCATTGTTAGCTTAAAATCAATCATGAAATGCATAGCTGAGATAGTCTTATTGTCGTGATGTGTTTCTAGTATGTCGTAGGATGTTTGCAAATATAGGCTCTGCTGCTACCTTTGCTTGAGAGGTTACTTAAACGGAGTCTAGAAAGCTTTATTAGGACTGAGTTATTTGGGTGTCACGTGTCATTTGTAGATTGTGCGGCACTCATTCTCACTACCGAGTGAGTCAACCAACTTGAAATCTTGTCGTCTTCGGTCTAACGATATATATTCAAGCCTTTAGCCCCACTTTGAGAAGAAGATTTTAGAAAATGGGGTAGGGAAAGATTTTAGAAAGAAAGTTTGAAACCAAAATTCGAGAGAATTTATAAAAACAACTTATATATTGTGAGCTGACCTTCATAAGACTAGCAAGGGAGTGTTTTCCTATAATACAGACATTTCAAGTCTACCAGCATATACATAATTCTGTCATACCAGCATATACATAATTCTGTCATAATTCATACACTTAAAAAATATTAAAAGAAAATATACATCATGAAAACAGTAAGAAAACATCAAAGTGATCAAGACAAGGAATTCAAACGAGTAGAGTACCCTTATGTCACTTGCGGGATAAGATTAACCCTTTAATATGTTTACGAAGACTTCTAACTTATTAGAAAAAGGGGGTTCGATCGAAACAAAATTGTTCGTTTAGGGGGAAGAGGTATCTTCCATCTATGGGAGAAGTGGAGAAAGCCAATGGAATAAACTGTGTGTGCAATCTTTTAAACTACTCACCACTAGTTTAAAACATTATTGAGTTGTTTACAACACAAGAACTTAGTTCAGCTTCAACGATGGTGCTTATTGGTTTCTTATTACTTATCACAAAAACTCCAACACGATCATATGTTTTACTAAAAAAATTAATGTACTTCACAAAAATATGCTGAGACCAGCTGGTTTATTTAGTACATGTTCATAATCAGCAACCGGAAGAAAACTTGGAATTAGAAAATTATTTACATTACAATAAATGGGATTGCAGTGCTCGTTTTTACAGGAAGAAGAAGTTACACTCATTGGCATCCACTGTTATCCAACCATCTCTGCAGACTACAAAGAGCCTGCGCAGACAGACTGCAGTATCTCAATTTTCTCTGCTGTGGTAGTGAGGAACCGCCGCCATGGAAACTAGAGAAGCAAACCACCACAACAGTCAGATTATCGAACGAGTCGAATTGCAAAGCACGCAGGACAAGCTCTCGAGCACACCGCTCCGGGTCGTCGTGTCGTTGAAGCCCCTGTCGAACTACATTGACCGCTTGCTGGCTCGACATCACGTCCCAAATCCCATCACAAGCTATG